AGTATTACTTCCCTCCGGCCAGCCGCTGTTCTGGATTTGTAGAAGCCGGGTTTGTTATTATCGATACGCATTTCCCACCTTACTCGGTATTGTTGTCATTTAACGAGTTAATTGTCATTCCGTGGACGGCAGTAGAACCCCACTGTCGCACTCTATGCAGCGAATGTCAGCGTTTTGAGCGCTACGAGTCCAGGGGTTTCCACTACCGTGTGCGGAGTGAAGACGAGCATAAAGAAAGAGCCACGTGACTGAGACCCTCCACGTCAAACTCGGAACTAACCAGCGCACGACGACGGAATTTGATACGAAAACGAGACACGCGAAGCGTGCCCAAGCCTTTCTGTTCATAATGACGGGCTGTAGCCCGGTGGGAGGCACGACAATACTTTTTGGATTGAATTTGGATCCTTCTCTCTTTCCCGCCTTGCCTGCGCGCACCTTCCGCGACGCACAAAACGATCGACTTACTCCATCGGACCAACACGGGGGATTTCATTTCCGTCTGTCCCCACACTCAATTTCCAAAAATCCTTGGCACACCCCATCTTGCTGTTTTTCTGGGCCTCCTTTTTCGCACAGCTAACACTCCGAACGGAAGACAGCACAGGGCATGAGGTTGGCACGTCACATACAGACACGAGTTCTAATCCAGATGTAACCACAGTGAGCAAGATAATCATCTTGAATTACGAAAAGTGAAATAATACTAATCAGCGACATTCCAATAATGACGGCCCGGTCAGTTCAATGATGATATCAAAAGACCATCACCCTTCAATTAAGGGATGGGCCCCACTGCCGTCGGAAAGTTTTGGAAGAGTTTTTTCCTTCAATTAAGGGATGGACCCCACTGCCAGCGGAAAGTTTTGGAGTTTTTTTGACACTCCACTGTGTGCAAGAAATTTGGGCAAATTACTACGTTGTTGTTTCCAGTCTTCCTTTCTTTTTCTTTCTCTCCTTCTTCCCTTCTCTTTCTAGGTATTCCATCCAATTCCTGTTCCTCCTTTCTGCACAGGATGGCTCAACGGAGAGAGTAGATCCCCCCCCCTACTCACTTCATTGAGCCACCCCGTGCAGAAAGGAGGCACTGGGATTGGATGGAGTGCTGTAAAAGCAGACGTCTACTTGGCCTTTCGGGCAAGTTTTCCTGATTCAGTAACGATAGGAGGGTTCCAAAAATTGCTGTGGCGGTGGTGTCCATCTCCCGTCTCCTCGTTCCCCTAGGCGACGGTTTGTGCTTTCCAACATTTCCAGACTTTTCCGAAGCGCTTTTCTGTGGGGCACGTTCCCAAGAAAGCAAAAACAACACACTGGATGAGTTGGGRAAAAACAGACAGGATATCTCTGACTACTRCTGTTGGGCCGGAGGCGACATGAATACGTTCCCTAGGCTTGCAGGAGGGAGATCCCACTAGCCATGTATTTGGATTAGTGTGCCGGGTGTGGGACAGGTGGGGGGCAGTGTGAAATAGGGAAAATAAACGCAAAGAGTGCCAAAAACCCATTTCATGACCAAACAAATGAAGAAAAAACTCTCTCAAAAGAAAAGAAAGTGCTCTTCTCACAGATGGTGTCTGCCCCAGGCAGGCTGTCAGATGTCAGGGTATGATTCACTGACCATGGCTGTGGCAGTCAAGACAACTGCATGTGAGTGGCCACACAGACCATATTCATTGAAAATGTGCCGCAGTGCACGCTGCTGTTCCGTTGTTCTGACAGAAATTGTTCTCACAGAAATTCTCTTTGGCAAAGGAGGGCAAGAGTATCTCCATACACCATTTGCTGTAGGTGCGGGGATGGAACCCTCCCAAACACCTCCCAAACCACAATCAATTTCCAGGGATGAAGCCCTTCGTCTTTGCCTTTGCCGTCAGTGATACGTGTGTGATTTCACGAACCCAAAAACTTGGCTGTGATTTCACGCACGTTTGGGACATCCGCAGGACCCCAACAACAAAAGCAAAAGATAGACCTACCAATGGGCAAACGAGAACATCCTTTTTCCCGGGGCTATAGGTCCCACTTGCACGAATTGGCTATAGGTCCCACTTGCACGAATTAAGAGATACTGACCGTAGATAGCAAAGATCAACGGCCAAAATCTTCTAATTTGCGCAAGTGGGACCTTGCCCCCGGGCTTAATTGACAGAAATAGGCTACTGCTGATTTCCTGCCAAATCCACAATGCCTGGCAGTCACTCACCCTTAAACACTAATCCACATACATCAGTAGTGGGATCTCCCTCCAGGGGTCCCCTCCATGTAGCATCAGGAGTAGGGGTACGTCCTGGACATCAGCCTAGTACTAATCAATGAATCCTCTCTCTCTCTCTCTCTCTCTCTCTCTCTCTCTCTCTCTCTCTCTCTCTCTCTCTCTCTCTCTCTCTCTCTCAGCAGCTGGCCAAAATGAGAAGCATCCAAAGAAACAGCAGCACACGTCCTGGACAGAAGTAATGAAAGGAGATAAAAAGCATAGCAGCTTTAGGGAAGAGGTATTCACGGCTACGCATGCCCGTGAGGGATGAGAAGAGTAGATGGACAAAAGCACAACGCAGAGACAACAGTTTGAAGACATTGAAAACAAAGACCGGGAGAAAACCTGTTAGGAAGAAACAGTGAGACAGCGCTTTGCCCCGAACAGAACCGAAGAACGACGGATTCAGCACACATACAAACCGCCAGAACAGCACCGCGAAAAACACCATAGGATAGTGCAAGCCGAAAAATACATACAAGAAGGTCATTGATGCCATTAAGTTCATCAAARTGACATGACAGGAGAGGGGGACAAGTACCCGTTGTGTGAAGGAGAGATCTATTAACCCAGTGAGCAAACACACAAACTTCATCCATCTAGCACAGACCAATCAACCATACCATACAGCGCAGAGCAATACTTACCAGTATATCTGAAATTCTCGAAACCCAGAAAGCAGCGCACTCAGCGAGCATCCTCGGGTAGTGATAACCTACTAATCGCAGTAATACCCAAAACACTCATGCCATAATCACACGAATGGAATTCCCAAAGGCTCCAACCAGCGCCAAAGAATCCACAGCATCCACATCCGGAACCCTACGTTTGTTCTCTCCGGTCCCCTCCCTCCCATCACTTTCAAATGGACCGTATTCACGCCACCATACTTGGAAGAAAGCCAGTCTTTCCTCACAGGGAAGACCAAATTTCRTCTGGTCCCCCGATATGGTTGTTACAGACATTATCTCATGGCCCTTACAAGGAAAACCAGCGCGCTATAACTTCGGACAGGGGTCGTACGCGAAGCTCGACACGACCTTCAACATAAGAAAGAAGTGGGTAACCAACCAAACGATAGATACCGCGAGTATATTGCCAGCACAGGTCAACAGATAGACACTCGATGGTATTCGGCAGAAGACGAAAACAACTCGTCGCCAATAAGAAGGGACGTCGAGTCGTCGACAGATCACATTTCAGATGGTATTCGGCAGAAGACGAAAACAACTCGTCGCCATTAAGAAACGAGAATTCCATCGAGAGGAAAAGCCTCCCTGCTACGCATCTCCTGAGATTATATAACACAATGGTATGCCTGCTCCAAACCATCCGAAGTATTTATTACACACGAACTTTTTCCCCGAGCGCGCAACTCTCCATATGCACTCTTAGCGCGCAACTCTCCATATGCACTCTTAGCGCGCAACTCTCCACATACACTCTTAGCGCGCAACTCTCCATATGCACTCTTCCTCTTATGGCAAGCGATCAAGGAACTAATCAATAAACGCAGACCACGACGTTTCAAAGGCGGTACTACTCCGAGAGAGAGAGAGAGACTMTACAAATAGCACGAGTGAGTCAACGAATGAAAATGCCACAAACTTGTAGTTAGCTAACAGATTTCCTTCCACCTGGGCCGGCTAGTATCTCCTCAAAATCGGGGGAGAAAAAAGCCATTCCTTTCCCTGCACCGACTATATTGGAGCGTCGTTGAGGACGTTAACAACCTCCAAACTTCGTTACGTCGCCAGCGATTACAATGTAACCAGGGGGCAGGAAGTCGGGGAAAGAGAGTATTTTGATTGCCTGGCCGATTCCGTGCCCTAGCCCGAAATCGCTAAAAGCAGACACGCTCCAAAACAGCAAAAATCTCCAGGGTGATTAACACCGCTCTAACTGTTGCCACCGAAAAGAATGCCGCCATGCTCCTTAAAGAATGGTGCGAAGACAAGAGACTCGACTGCCATGAGCTTGATGAGGATGTTGAGAGATGGGCCCGACGTGTCCTTGAGGGGATCGCCCACGGTGTCTCCGATGACGGCTGCCTTGTGGCATGCGGAGCCCTTCGGCCCGAGCGCGCGTGACTGCTCCGTGTTGCCTGCCTCGATGAACTTCTTCGCGTTGTCCCACGCTCCGCCGGTGTTGGAGGCGGAGATGGCCATCTGCACTCCGGAAACCAGGGCGCCCGCAAGAACACCTGCTAGCGTGTACAC